AATATTCTAAATACCTTGACAAGGAAGCTGATTTCTAAGCTGGGTAGTAGCCTACCAGGGGAAAACACTCATGCCTGCATTCCTTCCCTCTAAATTCATAGATAACCTTTGATTCAAACCTCTTGCCTCCTGAATTTGGGCCTGAAGCAACAACACACACTGCAAACCAAGGTTGCCTCTAAGAACAAGAATTTTTTTTCATATCATTAAGTTTTATAATTACTCACAATTGCACACACTGTATTCATGCATTCACTATAGGTGTGCAGATCCTCACAGAACTCAAAGCTCAGCAATTTTTAAAGCTTAAAAAATAGAAAGGCAATTCTAGTCTTATTGCCAAAAAAAAAAAATGGATGGTTTAGAGTTGAAGAAAGCCTTATAGGTCTTTCTGAGCACAAAAAATGCTTATCTCTTCTTGGCCCAAACTGCTGGGTTCATCTCTAAACAGAGTCAGTATGGGCATTTTGGTAATAATTTACCAATTTTTCATGTATTCAAAGTGGGAGTCAGTCTTTATAATATCTGGTGTTTACTAATGCTTACCACATGCTCCCTATGCCTTATTTTATTGAATCTTCCCACTGCTTGTTTTTTTTGTTTTTTTTTTTAATCATCACCCAAGGACACATTTCCATTGCTTTCAGGGAGAAAAAAAAAAAAAAAGAAACATCGAATGGCTGCCTCCCATACATTCCCAAACCAGAGATCAAACATGCAACCTAGGTATGTGACCTGACCAGGAATCGAACCTGCCACCTTTCAGTTATGGGATGATGTTCCAACCAATTGAGCCGCCCAGCCAGGGCACCACTGCCTTCTGAAGCAAGTGCTATTGCCAGAAGCTGAGGTTAGGCAACTGGCGCATGGCCACACTGCTAGCAAGTGGTGGAGGTGAGATTTGGACCCAACTATGATTTTCTGGTGGGAATCCTTTGGGTTATGAACAAAGACAAACATGTAATTATAATGTCAGGTACCACGCTGAGCCATTCTCCTTGTGATGTGACTGCAGCTCAGTGAGGTCTGTTTGGTGTTGCAGGATTCAGAAATCCTGAGCCTATCATTACTTCAGAAATGACTCCACTCCCCACCACTCTCTGTCCTGAGGCTTCCACCAGCAGGCAAAAAGAGACGTCTTTGGGAGCACTTTTGCACCTAGGAGGGACAAGGCAGACAAATGCAGTAGAACTTCCCAAATGCTATCATGTTGGTAAAAGGTAGTTGGGGATACCATTTATGGGATCCCAAGGAAGAAAGGAACAGATTTCAGTTGGGGACAGAGGAGAAACCAGGGGAGTATCTGTAGAGGGGGCAGATAGGTAAGATTATAGACATCGGGGATTCCAGAGAGGGCATTCCCAGAGGTGGGAATAGACTAAGCAAAGGTAGCAGGAAAAAGAATGTGTGTTCACTTGCCTGGGTTAGAGCAAAAGAAGCAGGGAACGTGGGAGGCAGGGACTCCAGGATCCTAGGCTTATGAGCTGGGGCAGAACAGGAAACCCAGCAAGTACCCATTAACTATCCCAAGACCTGTTGTACGTCCCACTCCTGGTACTTTTTTTTAAAATGTTTTATTGATTATGCTATTATAGTTGTCCCATTTCCCCCCTTCACTCCCCTCCACCCTGCACACTGTATCCCACCCACATCCTTCCCTTTAGTTCACATCCATGTGTCATACATGTAAGTTCTTTAGCCTCTACATTTCCCATACTATTCTTACACTCCCCCTGCCTATTTCCTACCTGCCACCTATGCTCCTTATTCTCTGTACCTTCTCCCTTCTCTTACCCTCCCACTCCCCTGTTGCTAACCCTCCATGTGATCTCCATTTCTGTGGTTCTGTTTCTGTTCTGGTTGTTTGCCGAGTTTGTTTTTGTTTTTGTTTTAGGTGTGGTTGTTAATAATTGTGAGTTTGCTGTCACTTTACTGTACATATTTTTATCTCCTTTTCCTTAGATAGGTTTCTTTAACATTTCATATAATAAGAGCTTGGTGATGATGAACTCCTTTAAATTGGCCTTATCTGAGAAGCACTTTATCTGCCCTTCCATTCTAAATGAAAGCTTTCCTGGATAGAGCAATCTTGAATGTAGGTCCTTGCCTTTCATGACTTGGAATCCTTCTTTCCAGCCCCTTCTTGCCTGTAAGGTCTCTTTTGAGAAGTCAATCAGCTGACAGTCTGATGGGAACTCCTTTGTAGGTGACTGTCTCCTTTTCTCTTGCTGATTCTAGGATTCTCTCCTTATCTTTAATCTTGGCTAATGTAATTCTGAGGTGCCTTGGTGTGTTCCTCCTTGGATCCAACTTCTTTGGGATTCTCTGAGCTTTCTGGACATCCTGGAAGTCTTTTTCCTTTGCCAGATTGGGGAAATTCTCCTTCATTATTTGTTCAAATAACTTTTCCACTTGTTGCTCTTCCTCTTCTCTTTCTGGTACCCCTATGATTCAGATGTTGGAACATTTAATGATGTCCTGGAGGTTCCTAAGCCTCTCCTCAATTTTTTGAATTCTTCTTTCTTCATTCTTTTCTGGTTGGCTATTTCTTTCTTCCTTCTGGTCCACTCCATTGATCTGACTCCCAGTTTCCTTCCCATCACTATTAGTTCCCTGTACATTTTCCTTTATTTGATTTAGCATAGCTTTCATTTTTTCATCTAATTTGTGACCATACTCAACCAATTTTGTGAGCATCCTGATTACCAGTGTTTTGAACTGTGCATCTGATAGGTTGGCTATCTCTTCGTCACTTAGTTGTATTTTTTCTGGAGTTTTGATCTGTTCTTTCATTGGGGCCGTTTTTTGTTTTTGTTTTTGTCTTCTCACGCCTGTTACATATGAGAAGCAAAGCCTTAGGTGTTCACCAGGGCAGGGCAACCCACATTGCTGCATTGTGACACTGTATGTGGGGGAGGGGTCTGAGAGGGAACAATGGTCCTTGCTCCACTCTCTACCAGATTTCAGTCACTCCCTCAGCTTCCCACAAGCAAATTGGGCCCTTCTGGGTGCTGATTTCCATGTGGGTGGGTTTGTGTACATTCTAGGACCCTGTGGGTGTCTCCAATGAACTCTCCTGTGAGGCTGGGAGTCTCTCGCAGCACCTCAACCCCTATAAATGTTTTCAACTGGTGTTTTGAGGCTTTATTTCCCCACGCTGGGACCCTGGATTGAGTGGTCTGTCTTGCACGGTTTTGCACGGTTTATCTGTACACAAATGTGGAACTGCCTGGTCTGCCAGCCACCTTGTGCGCCATACCCCTCCACAATCCACTGCCTTGTGCACCCGGAGTCCACCAGCCCCCACTTTACTATGACGCCTCTCTGCCCTGACACTGAACTCCACCCCTCCTACTGGTCTGCATGAATGTGTCTACTTTAACTCCTTGGTTGTCAGACTTCCATACAATTCAATTTTCTGTCAGTACTGGTTGGTTTTTGTTTCTAAATTGTCCTTATTTTTGGTTGTGCAAGGAGGTACAGTGTGTCTACCTATGCCTCCATCTCTGCTGGAAGTCCCACTCCTGGTACTTTCTACCTGTGTGGCCTCGAGAAAGTCCCTTGTCCACTCTGGGTATCAGTCTCCTTGAGTAAGGCACCAAGTACCCCTTGCTCATCTGAGAACCTAATTTAGAAAAATAAAGTGGTGCTGGGAACACCAGTTATTAATTTCTCTTTTTTCTAACTTCTCATACTATAAAATAATGTTCATAAAAATTTATTAATTACAATTGGATAAAAATAAGTCTAGTGATTCCAAATGGAGGTGTTGAGTCCTGAGAAAGGACCATCTCCGGAAGTCTCACATTCCTTCTCTGAGAAACAAGCACAGCACTGGTACCTACCTCATGGGGCTGACAGAAGGAGTAAGGCAGGTTATCCATTAAGGGTGCTTAGAACACAGCCTAGAACCATACTTGCTTATTCTGACAGCTATTATTAACAATGCATTATTTTTAAACTCCCAGCCAGGTGGAGTCAGTCCTGACGGACTTATGAGCAGAGGAGAGGTGAGGCAAATGCTGGCCTCAGGTCCTAGACGCCACCTCTTCCTAATCATCCAGCCTCTGGAGCACAAAAATCGCTCATGGTACATATATGTGGATGCACACTTTCTAGCCTCCTGGCATCTTCTTCCTCCCTTTCTACCTAACTCTGTCAACCTGGCCTCCTCCACTCTTCTGTGGGTTCAGGGGTGCAAATGCTCCAAGCGCTCCACCTGCAGCCCTATTACACAATCCGCATTTCCAAGACTGGCAGGAAGCCCATGTAAACGTAGGCATAGGTGAGGGTTGCTGGGGTTGCAGAGTGAGCATCCAGCTGTCAGGATGGTATGACCCGCAACCCCACTCGAGGACTTCGGGGAGGAGGGGGCACAAGGGCGAGGGAACTGAGGCCGGTTGAGAAAGGAAAAGCTGAAAAGCTGCTGGGGGGGGGGGGGGGCGGGGGGGGGGGGGGGGGGTGGGCGGTAGGTCTTGGCTGGGAGAGAGGTCTTAATGGTTGCCGAGGTCTGGGACTGGACGGGAGGTGAGTTCATCTGGGAAGGCGAGCTGCAGCTCTTCTTCGGGAAGTGGGAAGAGCTGGGGTGGGGTGCGCAGGAGCCTCCAAACCATCCAGGCAGTGGGAGGGGCCCACAGAAGGGGTGCCGGCTCGACGGGTGGGCAGGCGAAGTAAAAAGAGGGTGCAGGTCCGCAACTGGTCCTCACCCTTGTCCCAGGGCTTTGCGGGAGACAGGGAGCCTGGACCCGGGAAGTGGGGGGACCGGGATTCGGGAATGTCAGACCTACCCGGTACCGGAAGGGAGCGCGCAGGGGCTGATGCCGGAGTAAGGGAACAGAGCAGAAAGGGAGGTGCTGGTCCCTCACCCCGAGTGCCGCCTGAGAGGAGGCCAGGAAGCCGGGAATCGGGAAGTGCAGGGTAGGTCACTGGATCATTAGGGGCGCTCCCGGACATCCCCATGTCCCAGGTGCGCACCCTCGCCCCACTCCATCTGCGCTCACCGAATGGGACTTCAGTAGCCTGGCTCCTGCCTCACGATCCCACGCCGGCCCTCTGCACAGACTGTGGCTCGGGTCGGCTGCGGTGCTGGCCCCGCGCGGCTGTTAGCTCGGGGCCCAGGGTTCTGATGAACTTAAAGGCGCGGCGCGTGATCCTGCGTCCGCCGACGGAGACGCCGGCTCCGCCCGCGCCCGCCCCCAACGCCGCTCCCCGTCTTCCGCACTTTCTCTTGGGGTTCCGGGGCGAGAGCCTCCGGCTCTTCCACGCCTCTGGCTCAGAGCGTTAAACTCGAGGGGCGAAGTATCCCGTACGACCCAAACCCAGCAACCTGTGTCCAAGAGCCAAGGCCCGAGCACCGGCCCTTACTGCGCTCCCTGCGCGACCCCAGTTGCAGAGGGCAGAACCCAGTCACCGGACCCTGCTTGTAAAGAGCTCACGTGGGGCGTCCCAGTTCCATGATGCGACGCTAGAATTTATGGGGGCATTGTTCCATTTACTGAGCACCTACTGTGTGATTAGTCCTGCTGGGCACTATCTGCCGCAGTGATTCTGCTCCATAAGGTCTTGGAGAGAAAGGGCGAGGGACAGGTAGGTCCACAGGCGAGCAAACCTATGCTACCTTATATATCTCATTTAATCCAAGAAACGGATGGGCATTGTAATTGACTTCTTTCTCAGAAGGCGAGGGGGCCTTGGTCAGTGCTTCAGCCTATAAGGGACAGAACTGGGAATTCCGAGCGGGGGTAGTAGTGACTCCAAAGCTCTGGGGGCAAAATGGCTATCTTGAAAGGCCTTTCAGCCACCACTAGTTAAATCCCCACTAAGGTAATTTCTTCCTTTTAAGGCCAATTAAACCCCGCTAGGCAAAAAAAATTAGGGAGGGGAGCATAAAATGTAACACCCATTACATTCAGTGGTGTTTTCTGACTACTTCATTTGCCTCAGAGCAAGGTTTGCGAGCATCTGGCCTCGGTTCACCCTTTTGTTACGGGAAATTGAAGCAACCAGACACTGAGGGATTCTGGAGTATGAGGTTTATTAACGTGTACGGCCCAGAGGAGTCAGCCTCCAAATTCTGAGCCCCCCCCCCAACAAAGGATTCTTGGGGTTTATATAGCCTACGGGGTCTCCCTGTCTATGTAGCAAAGCGGGATACAGAAGCGGAATGCAGTAATTAGTTCTATCTATGGGGCAGAAGCAGAATACAAAGGCTAAATGTGAAAATTAGTTCTATCAGTGCGGGTGCTAGCCCCAGTCCTTGTGACTATCCTGCTGTTTGCTTTTCCCAGATGGCCTTATCGTTCTCCCAGGGCACCTGGGGTTTGGGGTGAACAAAGGTCTTCCAAAGCTTCCCACATCAGTTTCAGCCTCATCTCCTAGTATTCCAAGGGCATCCAGGCTGAACTAGACCATTTGGGCTTTTGCCTGAGCTGCTCCTTCTGCCAAGAATTCTCTTCCTTTCCTGCTTGGCCTGGCTACTCCTTCCTCTTTTCTATGCTTAAGTATCACTTCCTCCAGAAAGCTTTTCTTAAATCCCATGTAGGCCCATACTGCAGTGGGGACTTCTTCCATCAAAGTGTTTATGCATTCATTTAACACATATTTACTGAGCACTTACTGTGTTCTGAGCACTGTGTGTGACAGGGGTCTTCCTGCTGTTCTGAGAACTGAGTCCATGGCTGTTGTCTACCTCTCATTCCAGACCTCGATGGGACGAGTGCCAGCAAGACTCTTGGCCATTTATATCCACCACAAAGGCAGCTTCCCAGCCTGTACCCACAAGTCCTCCAGGATGGCAGAGCCTGGTCTCTTGGACAGGTTCTAGGTTTTAAGAATTGGGCATGGACAAGCCCCAATGATATGGCAGAGGGGCATCTCTGAGACCACTGATGACCACCCTCTAAAATATGCCTTTGTCAGCGCTGCTAGAATCCAGCCAGAGTTTGGGATAACCTCTCTGGCTTGGGCTGGAGCATCTTCTTCTAAGATGTTGGCCACCTCATCACTCACTTCAAGAGCTGCATTTGACACACTTCATGGAATTGTTCTCAGAGTTTCAGTGAATTTAAATGTACTCATTAAAAGGCATGTTGCTCAGCCCTGGCTGGTGTGGCTTCGTTGGTTGGAGCATCATCCTATAACCAAAAGGTTGCAGGTTTGATTCCTAATCAGGGCACATACCTAGGTTATGGGTTTGGTCCCCAGTCCTAGCATATGTAGGAGGCAACCGTTAACATGCTTCTCTCTTGCATCCATGTTTCTCTCTCTCTCCCTCTTTCCCTTCCTCTCTCTCCAAAAGCAATGAAAAAAAATGTCCTTGGCTGAGGATAGAAAAAATATTTAAAGGCATGTTGCTCAATTTCACCACCTCCAGGCCTTATCTCCCCTCACTGCCAAACTTGAACCTTTCCAAGCCAGCCGTCTTCCAAAACCCCCACAGCAGGCCCAGAGAAGCAACAGGAACAGGACTGACCAGCCTTGTAATCCCCACAGGCCATTCAGTTCCAAAACCCCCACAGCAGGCCCAGAGAAGCAACAGGAACAGGACTGACCAGCCTTGTAATCCCCACGGGCCATTCAATTAAAAATGTAGGCCCTGGCTGGTGTAGCTCAGTGGATTGAGCGCAGGCCTGCGAACCAAAGGATTGCGGTTTGATTCCCAGTCAGGGCACATGCCTGGGTTGCAGGCCAGTTCCCAGCAGGGGACCCAGGAGAGGCAACCATACACTGATATTTCTCTCCCTCTCTCCTTCCTTTTCCTTCTAAAGATAAATAAATAAAATGTAAAAAAAAACAAACAAACAATGCAGGCTCAGAGCAGTCAGGGGACCAGTGCTAAGTGGGTGAAGAAATAAGTAAATGAAATGCATGAATGACTTCCCAGGAGGTCTACCCAGAAGCCATCAATAAACTTTACCTGGTGTATTAGAAACTTGAAAACCATTGTTATTTTTTATTAAATTTATACAGGTCTCAAGTGTACATACAAATCCACGAAATATCATCTGCACACTGCATGGTGCACCCTTTGCCCTGAGCAAAGTCTCTTTCCATCCCCACTTCATCCCCCCCCACTTCTGCCCATTTCTACCTGCCCCCAAGCCCCCTTTTCCTCTGCCTATCTCCGCACTGTTGTCTGTGGCTATGTGTGATATATATGGTGGTGTTGTTTTTTTGCTTAATCCCTTCATCTTTTATTCAGTCCCCCGACCCCCCTCCTGAAACTTAAAACCAATTTTTAAATAAAATTTTTTCCTCTCCAAGACCCTAAAAATGTGCGATTCTTTGTATTTTTTTAAAAACTAAAAGCCTGTTTCCTCAGGGTCCTCCTAGGTAGGTACTGGAGTTCCAAAATCTAGAGCGCTTCCCCCTAGTGTTATATTTAGGTGCACTGAGTTGAGCCCCGGTGGGAGTCCCATTCTCTGTGACTTCTCCACCTGGTGCCTGACAGGAGAGAAGCCTTAATTAGTCCCCATTTCACAGTGAAGCCGAGGAGGGAAGAGGAGATGAAGGGACTCATCTACAGTCTCTCCCCGAATTAGCAATGCCCTGAGCTATGTCACTAAAGAATCAGGGGTGGGTGAGAAGCCAGGGGGCAGTCCCAGGGGCCACCCACATTCCTAATGGCACCTTCAGTCATCCAAATAGACTCCTTATTATCTGACAGGTCCCACCCCAGCATTAGAAAGGTGTTCTGGAACCTCTCCTTTGCCAGTAGGTGCAGCAGAGCACCCCAGCCTTTGCCCTGCCATGCCTGTGAACACCTCCAGGACAGCAGCATACCAATTAGAGCTGAGTGGTGCCAATGGCCACTACTGTTTAAGGTACGCTTATTACCTTGTGGACACTATACATCTTCTCAGTTCTCATAACCCACCTCCCACCCCGTGAGACATGCTAACCCACTTTACAGGTGGGAGGACTGAGGCACAGAAAAGTTAACTGACTCAGTTAACTGACTTAACTAAGATCCCATAGCCAGTACATGGTGGGGCCAGCAGTCTAAGGAGTTTATTCATTCACTTGACATTTTTGAGAACTCACTACATGCCAGGTACTCTTTGGGTGAATAAAGACACATTTATTACCTTCAAAATCTTAGCCTATTAGTAAGAAAATATTAGAAACTATTCCATCAGAGATCATACACAAGTTATGACAGAATCATGAGTAACAACTACAACGGCATGTCAGCACATGGAAATGTGTGTAGGATAAAAATGAATAACACAAGTTATCACGTATATTCAGATGTCAGCTAACAGCATCCTGGAGCCTATGAGCCACTTGCATGATTCATTCTCCAAGCATTCACTGCAAGGCAACTGTGAGCCAGCCACTGAGCGCCCTGGCCAATGTACACTCCACACCACCTTCCTGCAGGCTTCCCTGATTACCTGTGAAAAAGTCATTGTTCCATCGTCCATACCATGTAGCATGTTATATGTGATGACTCATTCATTTGTTTGGGTGACTCTCAACCCCACTTAGTTGTGAATTCCTTTTGTACCTCCATATCCCTAGGGACCAGCGTGATGAGTGGCACAGAGCAAGCAAATAATTTTTAAAATATATTGTATTGATTATACTATTACAGTTGTCCCATTCCCCCCCTTCACTCCCCTCCACCCTGCACACTGTATTCCACCCACATCCTTCCCTTTAGTTCACATCCATGTGTCATACATGTAAGTTCTTTAGCTTCTACATTTCCCATACTATTCTTACACTCCCCCTGCCTATTTCCTACCTGCCACCTATGCTCCTTATTCTCTGTACCTTCTCCCTTCTCTTACCCTCCCACTCCCCTGTTGCTAACCCTCCATGTGATCTCCATTTCTGTGGTTCTGTTTCTGTTCTGGTTGTTTGCCGAGTTTGTTTTTGTTTTTGTTTTTGTTTTAAGTGTGGTTGTTAATAGTTGTGAGTTTGCTGTCATTTTACTGTACATATTTTTTATCTTCTTTTCCTTAGATAGGTCTCTTTAACATTTCATATAATAAGAGCTTGGTGATGATGAACTCCTTTAAATTGACCTTATCTGAGAAGCACTTTATCTGCCCTTCCATTCTAAATGAAAGCTTCCCTGGATAGAGCAATCTTGAATGCAGGTCCTTGCCTTTCATGACTTGGAATCCTTCTTTCCAGCCCCTTCTTGCCTGTAAGGTCTCTTTTGAGAAATCAAT